ATGGGCAATTGGGATCCTGCTTTGGGAATACAAATTGAGGTTATGTACAGTGCCACTCTCACAGGCTGAAGAAAATCTGCTGAGGGTTTTGTGGAGGACAGGCTTTATGTAATGATTACATTTTTAGTTCGTTAGGTTATTTTTAGGCTCATCACCAGTCTGTTAGGGGAGGGAGAAGGGAAGTAAACAACCAGTGCAACTTCTAGGACAGGAGCCATTTCATTCCTGTAGCTGTTTGGCCATTTCTAGAAATGGCTTCACCTTCTGCAAGCTCCACACTGACAAATGGCATGCAGCAATAAATAGCACAATGGGATAGTGTGACCTCTTGCCCCTTGATTTGGCTGCTTGGCAAGAAAACCTTGGTCAATGGGCACTGGTGACACTGTTCCCAGCTATGCCAGGATGAGCTGAGCTGCAAAGAAATACCTGGCAAGTCTTATCCCAGACAAAATGCCTAAGAAATATCCTCCCTACACCCATCTCTTCCTATGCAAACTTACATTCTGCAAAATCCATTATGAGAGTCCAGATCAACATATCTAGTGTTGAACTCAACCATCCGTGTGACACTGAAACTTTTAATAAATTTAATGTTTAAATAAACAACCATTCATACACCACACGCATACCAAGAGCCTTCCCAAGACATGAGCACTCACACACACTTCCATGACTAAACCCTGAAAAAGAGACACTCAGAACCTTGTTGCAGTGCCTTTTTTTGATTATGAAGCAATAATTTCATTGAAATCTCTCAGTGTCTGGTCTATTTTCTGTTTTTAGCAGAAGTTGCTCTCGAACTTGAGGCACGTTCTCCACTCACCAGGAGAGGTCACCACACTCCTCAATAACCAAACCAAGAGCCAGATGGGATCTCACAGGAGGGACCTTCTTGCTGGGTAAATGTCCCAGCTCAGAACAGCTGGGGATATTTAATGTCCATGCTACCCACAAAGGGTCCCTTTCTCTCTCCTGTGAGAAGTCAGGAAGTGCAGATTAATGCCACAACCTCCCTGTGTGCAGCTGCTCCCACTGCAGTCCCAGCCTTTCTACAGTAAGGCAATGAGACAAATTAGACCTTGGTCCAAACAACAAAGATGTCTCATAAAACACAGAGAAAAACTTGGATTCGGAGCAATTTGTTAAAAGATCAGCCTATGAATTTCTGAGACCCAACACAAAGATCATGGGGAAGCAAGAATGACTGCCACAGGACTCAAAAGACATACATGGCTTAGATCCACAGCTAATCCATGTTTTGGCTGGAGTGTGAATATCTATTTGTCTATGTAGACATTCCCACCTTTCCAAAACAAGATGAACAGATGCTGTTCATTTTGCTAGAGATGAATCTTGGCCAGAAAATGAGTTTCAAGTGAGGATTTGTGGAACATGAGTACTTCTTTAGGCCTCTGCCTCTCACCAGGCTCTTCTGCCATTGCTCTGAATTCATCACCTTGTTTCATGTTTATTTGAGGATCCATGTTAGGCTCTCCCCTTCATCACCACAGCTTCCCTGTTTGGCTTCATTAGCATCAGAGGAATGTGATAAATGTGCCTAACAAACCTAAAATTAAATTTTTGAGACCAAAACCCCATGCTCCAGAACCACCTACAGCCTGCTACTAGATGCCAGCCTGCTGCCCTTGGCCCCTTCTTTTGCCAAAGGGCTAGAGAGGAAAACATCCCCTCTTCATCCATTCAAAGAGATCAGTGAGCACAGAACAGATCAAAGGCAAAAACATCCTTGGGACCCCAGAGCAGAGTAGTGCCAGCACTGACTCTGCCTTTAGCATCCCACAGAAGGTGCTACAGGACAGTGTGCAGTGACCCCGGGGGATGACCAGCCCACAAGGAAAGCTCTTTCTGAGTTACCTGATAGTGAAGGCTTGGTTTATTCCTCATGGATGGGCTATCTCAGACACCAGGAGTTCCCAGTTCCTCCCAGTCCTCCCATCCCTAAGGCAGGGAGCAAACTCTCCTTGGCATTGTGCTGGAGCAGGTGCAGCCAATGCAGGGGAGGGAGCTCAGGATGGAGAAGTGCTGCTGCTGCAGGTCCCCAGCTGTGGCAGCACATTTCCCTCCCTCTCAGGATTTTTCATAGAGGTGCACAGAGAGAAATGAAAGAGAAAACAATTTCTATTTCTGCTCCTTGTTTTTCCCATGTGGAATGTGTTTGGAGAATTGTTTCCCTGGAGTGATTGCTTGGTTGGATTCTGGTGAGGATTGTTTGAGCCTGATGGCCAATCCAACCCACCTGGGGCTGGGCTCTCAGAGAGGGTAATGAGTTGTGGGAGAGTTAGAGTCAGAGAAAGTAGTATGTAGTTTTAGTATCCTCCTTTTATATGGTATATTAATGTATTTTAGCATAGTTATAATAAAGAAATCATTCAGCCTTCTGAATTGAGTCAGACATCATCATTTCTTCCCACTGGGCTCACCTGCATTTACAATAGCCAGTGTCACCTGTCACAGCTGGCTCTGCTGTCACCCATCAGCAAAGGTGAAGTGCCAGAAGAGCAAAGGGATGGGCCAGGCCTGGGCTTGGGGTGATGCTGTGAACTGAGCCCAGCTCCAGCCCTCTGCAGGGAGGGGACAGCAGGCAAATGCTTGGAGATTACAGCTAAATGTTAATGTCTCAGTGAAGGCCCCCGGTGCCAGCTTCCCTCAGAGACTCAGCAATGTGATGAAAGCGCTGCAGAAACACCACTGCCCTTTCAGCCAGCCAGGGAATGTTGGCCTGAGCAGCTGGGAAGGAGAGGGATGCTAAAGGGGTCACTGAGCTTGGAAGGAGGAAGATGAGATACTGCAGCACTGCTCTAATGATACCTCACCCAAGCCTAGTTGATCAACTATCAACTGAGCTCTCAACTTCAGTGCTCAGCTTCCCCACGGGATGAGGCAGGTACATCCCCAGAGGAACAGTTTGCCCTAATCCTGCTCTTTAATCAATTTCTGATGATACAGGAGAAATATCTCAGGAAGCTGGTAAAGAAATTGTTGTTGGATATGAGCAACACACATCAACCTGCTTCCTTGCACCCTATATGAAAGACTTGCCATACAAAGTAACATTTCCTATCTCCAAAATATTTTCTGCTGTCCTCAGGGATTCCTCCCTTCTTATAGAGTGATGTTTGTGCCGAAGTCTCCATCTCAATGATAAATCTCTGTGAATATTCAGACACTGAGTTTGATGCTCATCTGAGCCCTGAGAAAATCTGGAATATAAAGCAGAGACATTTGCTGGATGGCTTTCTGTTTCCAGCTACTTGCCACTGCACCAAATCTGAGCTGAAGCCAGCTGTGGGTTACCTGGACTGAAGCTGCCCTTGCTGTCTGGGTTAGGCAGCACTCTCTGAAATCCAATCACATGGAATGTCATTGTCTGGGGAGGTGGAACATCCTTTAGCTGTGCTTATTGACAGCATCCAGCTGCAATGCATTAGGCTGAGAGGCAATGACACAAATGGCAATGGGAAAATTCCTAGTAGATATTAGTAAATCGTTGTTTCTTGAAGGTTTTCAAAATTCACCTTGGCAGGGCATTGAGAAATTGCATCTAAGTTGACTCTGCTTTAGCACAAGATTGCACCACAGACTCCTAGAATTCCTGCCCAGCCTTAATCACTCTTTCACCAACACAGTCATAGATGAGAGCTGTACTGGTGTATGAATGTCCAACAGTAACCAGAGAAACAATTCAGCAGAACCCCAAAACAATGTCCAGAAGATTTATTATCCACTTTATGCAGACCTGTGACAAGCCAATCAAAGCAACAAAACTATCCTGGAGAAATGTGAACTTGAAACTGCCCTGACCTTTTCTTACTGAGTTGTTACATTGAGAAGTCCACACTTCAAACCTCTGGGATGATGATTTAATTTACTAATAAGATTCATATAAAATGTGGTTTTCATCAACATCAACCACAAAAAAACCCCAACAATACAATAACATGAGACTTCTGTCACAGAGTGATGTTTCTAAGCTGTCTCCTCACAACACCCATTTCTAGAGACACTTAAAATTATACCTCAAACTGATCTGCACATGAAAAAGACACTGAAAACATTAAACCTGCTGGCACATCAAGAATTATTTTTTCCAAGCTTCCAGGACCAACAGTTGATACTGAAAACTGGTTTGTAAGCTTTCAGTAACTCAAATATCAGATGAAAAATGCCAGATGGTCCTTAATTTCCATTTCCTCTGTGTAGATCCAGCTTGATGGCCTTTTACTCTGTGCATCACATGTGTGCAAAAATGCCATGAAAGGGCAAGAAGTATTATTGCATTTCAATTTTTCAGTGAAGCCAAATTTCAAGCCTGTTCTTCCTTTCAGACATATCAGATTTAATAGAAATTGTGCACAATAGACTGAGGAAGATCACAAAAAGGAACTATTTGAAGCTGGATCCAGGGAAAGAGGAATTTCTTCCTCAAGCCTTGTCTGTGCATGTGAGTTTGGTTTTGGCCACACTTTCATTCAGGCCAGTAACCACTGCAACTTATCATATTTGGTTTTCCCCTTCTTCTCCAAATCACACTCTTTCATCTCTTAAGGCAATAATATCATATTAATAAGTTGTATTATTATGTTATGGTAGCATTATTGTGTAATAACACTCAGTTCTTACACAGCATGATTTCTTAGCCCATCCCTCTAGTATGGTGAATGTGCTGGGGATGCCATTCACTCCCTTCCTCACTTCACAGTTCTCTCACAGTTATTTTTCTTGGATGAAAAAGAAAGGGTTAGCAGTTAGCCCAAGGAACACTGAGCTGTGCTCACTCATGTACATCAGAGGCACCAGGACAGCAACATGGTGCTGCACTGCCTAAGTGGAAAATGCTCCTTTAATTCACCACCAGAAAAGAGAACTATTTCTTCCCTCCTCCTTGTCTTCCTCCTCCTCCTCCTGGCTGGATGAAAACAGATCAAAACCTCAAACCAATCCTTGCACTAGCAGGAACTCAAAAGGTAGATTTGGGAGGGGTTGGAGAAAGATATAAATGCTGATAGCTGGAGACACAGAGCAACACTGAACTGGAGAGACTTAAGAGAAGAGGAATCAGACACCAAACATGAATCTGAAACTTCTTTTTTGCCCTGGATTCCTTCTGCTGCTTATTGTCAGTCAAAACCAGGCAGGGGCCAGATCCATCTCCAGCTTCCAGGTAAGTGACTGACTGCTCAATAGAGCTGAAAGAAGCTGATGCTTCTTTAGGAATTAGACACATCAGATGAGCTCTGTTTCTTCCAACCCCATCTTAAAGAGACATCATGAGAGCAGGAATGCTGAGACAGGCAGATACAAAGTTGTTAAACAGAGGAAACGAAACTCATTGATCACTGGATTTAAATTTCTAAACACAAGAGGTGACTGAAAGGAAAATGTTTGGGGTTTCTTTTCCTGTAGGTTCAGTTAGGGGATTGTACATTTAGGGTCATCCTGTGACTGAGTGTAGGAATAAACTTTTGGATTAAAAGAAATTATTCTGGAAGGACTGTGATCTAAACCCCTAGAGCAGTCACCTGCATGCCATAAATGTCCCTAAAGGCCCTGGTTTTAGCTGAAAAAGGAATTAAGGGGTTTTACCTGTAGGATCTCCTCCTCAGCTCAGTTGTGCAGCAATGCAGCCACTGCTTGAGACTACCAGGTGTAGAATATAAGAAAAATAGAGAGTGTGTATGTGTACCTATGTGTATTTGTTTGTGCAGGAACTCCAAGTCATTAAGAAAAACATTTCAGTTACTGCACTAGGGAGCTGACATTGTTATATATGAATTAACCTCCCACTGTGCAAAGAAATGTATAGCAATGCTTCAGAACCAATTTCAGCATATCTCCTGCCATTGCATTAATTCTCTTACATATCAACTATTTTTTTTTTCCTTATTCACACTTTATCAGGCCTGTTTTCAAATTTTTCATGATTTATCCATCTGCCCAGTTCCAGGAAATACTTAACTGGCAGTCTGGCAGCTCAGAAATATATCCTCAAACTTAGCACTGAGTATAGCTTATATGGAAATAATGAGAATTTCCAAAACCCCTCCTTCTTGTCTCTTCCCTTTCCACCTTTTACTCTTCCCTTTTTCCAGAGTCTGCCCAAATTGTTAGACGAGGACCTGGAGCATCCCCTGGACTCAGAAGAGTGGGACCATGAGGAAGATGACCTGATCCCAGCAGGTGTCTTTGATCAGCAAGACACTGAACTCCCGTGGATCCAAACCAGCAGGGAGCAGCCCAGGAGCAGGGAACAGTCCAGGAGCATTTCCCTGGGAGACAGCGCCATCCAGAGATTCTTCAGCGACCTCCTGAGCTCAGCCCGGAGGCAGAAGCAGAAAGGCAGAAGCAAAAAGGGCCTCTCCAGGGGCTGTTTTGGTGTCAGACTAGACAGAATTGGATCCCTGAGTGGATTAGGATGCTGACTCTGCTGGTAAGAGAAAGCCAGAGGCTGCTGGTCTGTGTATTCATGTATAACTTGCAGAAATATGCAAAAGAGCAGAGTTAATTCAGCTTCAAGGAAATGGTGCCTTAAAGTAAGTTTTATCCTCCTATCCCAAACACAGTTTATTCTTTTACCTTCCTCAGAATTCACTGTCATCAGATGTAGACTTGAAACCTGTGAATGCCTGCATGCCACACCTCTGTTTTACTTGTTTTCCCTCCTTCCTCCGAGTCAGCTGCAAGCATTTCATCTTGTCCTAGAAGATCAGAGAGGTTTTTCACCAGCTCCCCAGGGATACTTATTTCATTCCAAACAAACTCTAAGCAGAACAGTGGAGGTAAATCTGCCACTAGAACAGTAAGAAAAGAGTTAATTTCCATGTGTGAAATCCTGTACACTTCTCTTTCTATTATTTATTCATCTTCCTTATTGACAGGACTGACTTTGGGGTTTCAAAGCACCCCTTGCCTACCACTTTGTACTGAGCAAATGCACCCACCTCTCCCCTGATATCCCTGGCCAACAGAATGCACCTTTGCTGTCCTGCCTGTTTGTATCAGAATATTTATTTATGAACATCTATCTGAAAATTAAATACAGGAAACGACCTTTGTACTGTTTGTTTACTGAATGTATAAATAAACAAGCCTCATTATGTCACAGGTAATAAACTGTTTTCCATAATGTAATTAATTTGCTCCAAGGTTTGCTGTGTGATTTGTTCCTATTTCATTCCTGAAAAAGAGCCCCAGTTTGCAGTTAGACACTGGAATTCAGGAGCATTTCAGAGGGCCGCTGTCTGGTAAACAGAAACCAAGACACAAAACCCCAAGTCTCTGAGCCACAATGTGAACAAAGAGCATCTCTCTTAGCAGACATCACTAGAAAGCAGTGACTCTGCTCTTAGATCTGCCACTGATGGACAAAACCAAATTTTTCTTAGTAGTGTACCTCTTCTTATTAAAAACAAACAAACAAACAAACCCCCCAAAAACCCAAAACACAAACAAAACCAAAAAAAACCCACCCCAAAACAATACTGCCCTTCTTGGAAGGAAATTCAAAGGCACCATTTGAATACCATCCTGGTATTTCAATCCACTGAGAAGAAAATTGAAAAACATATCCTGAAGGCTTCTTTGCTTAACATTTTTGGTTAGGTCTTATGTTGTTTGCTAGTTAATCTGTTTAAGTTAACTTTATTAACAAAGCAGCAGCAACTGTGAGAATGCACTGAGCAGATATTTGTTGCCATATGCATACACAGCCCTGAGTACAAGCTCTCCAATGATGGATTAGTCCATAATGAATTTATTACACCCTGAATTGCCATTCCTAAGAAAAAAAAAAATCACAAGAAAATTAAGATTTCTACCAATCAATAAACGAATTAAAGTCCAGAATGAAAACTGTGTTATTCTTTCATCTTCCAGCATAATTCCATACCAATAGTTAGTCTACACATGGCTTAAAACCAACTATTTACTCAGGTTAAGAAGAAGCAGACTTGCTTATTTGGGAGAGTTTAACAGAAAGCATCCAGCTTTTTTAGAGTCCCTCTTCAGTGTGCTACCCCAGGTCAGAGTAGGTTGAAGTCTGAGCTGTAAGCACTTGTGAACAGAATCCCACAAAGATGAATAAGAAACAGATAAGAGTTGCAATTACAGAGGTCAAGCTGGTAATGTGCCATCCCATCGCCTGGCATTTTGTGGGAATATTTTAAAAAGGCACTTTTCTCAAAGCAAGAACAATTTATTTCACATAAAAGGCTCTATAATTAGATCCCCAAGACTGAAGCCAGGTGTGTTTGTAGTTTAGGTAATTTGCTGAGTTCTATTAGCATTTAAATAATCAAAGCTAAGCTTTGAAGTGAGGATGCCAGTCAGATGAGGGAAGCTCACCTCTGGCTGTGCCATTTCCATCTTTGCTAAGAAGCAGTGCATGAATTTACAGACCAGGGTTAACAGAAGTTGCTGAGAGAAAAGCCTCCAATAAAAGTACTCCTACATGGAAAGAAACATACAGATATCTTTCTCAAATATGTGTGGTTTTGGTGTACCTGATTTTAAGTGATGTTAGGCAGCAATTGAGATTTGGTCTCATTCAAGAGTCACTTCTGGCTAGCTTATTAATAGAGGGCCAGTTGTATTTATTCCCCTTGATCATCACACAGATCCTGTTCAGTCTCACTGCTTTGTCCCTGTCTACTCCTCCTTCAGTACACACAAAATTGAGGATGATGCACATCCTCACCCAGATCTGTTTTCATTCTCTATCAACAATAACTCTCTCACCTGCCATGATCTGCCTTCATTCAGGTACTGCACTTTCAAAACACACCTCTCCTTTCTCTGCCAGGTTCTCTGCTGTGTTGCTTTAAACAAGCCCACTTGCCAGATGTTAAAACAGCTGGATGCAAAAATCACTGTCCCAAACCACTTGATATTGCTGGTTTGCTTCCTTTCTAAGCAAATGAAAAGGGCAGAAAGCAGAGGCTTAGTGAAATTGCTTTAATATTACCCAGGCATTGAATGAAAGGACCCTGTCTGCTGTTCTGTCTCTTACAGAGGGAAGGACTACAAAGGTAAGAAGGGGGTTGGTGACAATGCCAGAGAATCATCATCAGAGGAACTTTCAAAGAAGAAAAATCTCCTAAACCCAAGTCTCAGGATATAGTCTACTCACATTGCACAGAAATTTGTATACTGAGAAAAAAAACCTGTTGTCCCAAGAGCTGCTGCAGACAGATGAACATTCTCAATTCCACCCACTTGTGTCCCCCACGGAGAAATGATCCATCCCTCAGCCCCTTGGAAGGGAAATCAACCCAGCTCTCAGCTCCTGTGTATCTGAGGCAGAGCAGACAGGCTGAAAGTGCAAGGTTCTTTCACTGCATCAACTCTTCCTAACAGTGATGGAGGTGGAGGGAGAGGAAATCACTGGAAAAATGGGTGCTGCCAGTAAGGGAGATGACTGAGGGCAATTCTTTCCCTCTGAAGCAGTTGCTGCACTCAGCAGACCCCCAGCTCCTGAAGGGTGACCTGTGGGGGCAGTTGCCACCAGTCCCCTTATCGAAGCCAGAGGGTCCAGTGCAGCACTTTGGCTCCTGCAGGGATCTGGCAGGAGGCAGCTGAGCTTCCTCTGGGCAGAGTGGGGCTATAAGGAGAGACATCCATGGGCAAAGAAGCAACACAGGATCGAGATGATGATGGGGATAGGGAAAAGAAAGGGATGGAGATGATAGGGATAGGGATGGGGATGGGGATGTGGATGGGGATAGGGATGGGGATGGGGATAGGGATGGGGATGGGGATGGGATGGGGATGGGATGGGATGGGGATAGGGATGGGGATGGGGATGGGATAGGGATGGGGATGGGATGGGGATGGGGATGGGGATGGGATGGGGATGGGGATGGGGATGGGGATGGGGATGGGGATGGGGATGGGGATGGGGATGGGGATGGGGATGGGGACGGGGATGGTGATGGGGATAGGGATAGGATGCAGTTCCCGGCTCTCGTACCGCCACGGCAGTGGGGCACGGAGCAATAAACTTTGTGCCAAATCTACATTACCTTTTTTGAGTGAGTTTGGTTTTTTGCGGTCACGGTTTAGCAGATGGTCAGAGGATACAGAAATCCCTTCAGGGCGCTCCTCTCCCTCTGCTCTGAGGGCTCTGTCCTGACCCTGGCCAGAACATCCCAGCCGTTCTGGAAAGCCTTTTGCTGGAGGGTCGCAGCAGCAGGAAGGGTGATGGTTGCATCCTTCCAGGACTGTGCCAGTGACCCTCCACGCCGTATTGAAGTGGCACTACCAGGCAGCGCTGCCAGATCTGGCACCGTGGCAGTGAGCCAGCACGCCTTTCCCGATGGCTTCACTGCTGCTAGCAGGGAATGCTCCCCGGAGGTGGGCACGGGGCTAGGGGTTATTCCAGCTAGTGTCCTACACACGCCCCTGTGCCACGGGCTGGCATCAGTGCCAGGCTTGGCAGATGGGCACAGCGGGACTTCCCAGGACAGAGGGGCTCCATGGCTTTAAAGATACACCTGGTAGCGGCTGCCGCTGCAGGCGAAGGGCCGGGAGGGCTTCAGCACCTGGGACAGACGCCAGTGGCCCCGCCGGGTGCCCTCCTGCCCGGGGCTGCCCTCCTGCCCGGGGCTGCCCTCCTGCCCGGGGCTGCCCTCCTGCCAGGGCTCCCTGCAGCCTGCGCTGAGCCTGAGGCTCCAGCAAGAGAAGGAGCAGCCGCAACACACAGATAATGCATCACAATCACCGGGAGAAACAATCCGTGTTTAGGATGAAAATTCATTTACCCCCTTGGAAAAAGTGAGGCATCACTTAACTGTAGGATGGCCACTCCTCCAGACATTTTTACATTTCTGTTTTGATTTTCATCTGATGGCCTCATCGATTAACTTCCTTCTCAATCTGTCATGCAGGGAAAGAGAGGCTGGGTGGGGTGTGGCATAGTTTTGTCAAAGGTTTTGTCACTGGGAGATGAATCCAAATCTCAGAACAGGAGGCTCTGTACAAAGAGCTCACACTCTCCAGAATGGCAGGAGGAGAATGGACACGCTGGAAGGATGTGCAGCAGGTCAGGGCAGCACTTAAGTCAGGTCTATCCATCAGCAGATGGAACCCACATGAAACCAACCCCCAGGGTTATTTATCCTCACAGGGCTGAAAAACAAGGGCACAGAATCATCTTGCTGGGGAAGGGGCAATGTCACCTCAGCAGAGCTCTGTCCATCCTCCTCATCACAGGATCCACACACAGGCTGCCAGTACCATCTCTCTGATCTGAACCAGCAGAGCTGCTCTAATGGAGCCTCCTGTCACCACACCTCCCATCCCATCCCCTGGGGAGCAGGGGAAATGTGCCAGATTCCCAACCCTAAAACCAGTCACAATAAGCTTTTTAGAAGAACCTGCTGCCCTGTTAAGGCAGACATTTTACTAGGGAAATGCCGAGCTGAGCATAGGCAATGCCTAGGTCTTGACTCTTTATGGCTGGGCCATAAAGCCTAAAGTTCATATTAATTTACCAGGGTGATGATAAGACTGAGATAAACAAGTGACTTTTATAGCCTAACAATGATGAGCTGAGTTCTGACATTTCACACTCCATTTGCTTTGGCAGAACTGCAAAATGGATAATTGAGGGCAGAATTTGGCTGTGAAAATACAACTGCTACTGTGACAGGCAGCCACTTTATCCATCTCTACACTTCACTACACTGTACATGGAACAGAGCACAAAAGCTTTCTGTCTTAGGAAAGTATTGTCGAGGCTCAAGTCATGCTTCTGCATCTTATTTATCTGCCATGGAACACAGAAGATGCAAAGGAATGAATGAGTAAAGAAAGAACTATCTTGAGGTCTGACTTAATGACTAAAATCCAAACAATTAGATTGTTTCACAAGGACAGGTCACTCAAAGAAGAATGTTTCACATCTGAGATTAATATTGTGTCCCTCAATTTCTTGCTGCTGGGTTTGTGCCCTGGGGGCTGCTGTACAAAAAACAAAACAAACCAAAACAAAAATAAAAAACAGACACAATGGAAATCTCAGAATAAGCGACAAAATGTTTTTGCACAGAGAGCACTAGAGAATACTTTGTGTGGGAGACTGTGAAAGGAAAGAAACAAGAAATATAACAATAACTAATTCTAATTATCTTAAATCGGATACTCAAAATTAATTAATAATTCTGGTTTAACTTCTCCCACTTTTGCAGTTTACAAAACAAAGTAACACCTTGGCACAAACAAACATACACAAACCAAGAGCAGCAAGGAAGAGAATACTTGTAACTAACAAATTATACAGACACTGCAGTAGAGAGTGTTAATTATAAAAAATAAGCTATCAGGATCTTAATTCTTTTTTAAAAGCACAAAATAAGAAAGTGTTGGAGCAGACAAAAAATAGTACTGCCTTTATGTTCCTAAAAAAAATAAAGCATTGAGGAAAAATAGAGAGAGCTCTTATAATAAAGGGCTTCATCAGAACATACACAGAGTTGGGCTGACTTCAGGCTATATTAGGAAGAAGTAGCATTTGAGCATGACTTCACAACCTTGAGAATGTCCTTTCTAGTATAATTTTGGTAGCTGATCATGTGAACAGTATGTGCACATGTTTGTACATAAACACCCATGTTAAGACATTTAGGACATGGGAAATACTTTACCATTCTATTATTATTTTGAAATTGTACTCAGAAGATTCTTTCAAGATCTACGTTCATATGTAAAGCCAACAAATTATTACTAGACTGACATTCAACTTACCCCTACATTTGTTGTTGTTTCAATTTAAAATAACAAGAAACATTAGGAAAATGCAAAAAAAGGGCCATTGCTTCATGATTCAGAACTCTCTTGCATTTCTGTAAAAAGATTGATTTTTAGTTATATGTACAAAGACAAAACTGGAAGAGAAATTAGAAGTATTTCTGTACTTTCGTAATTTCTCATCTAGAACAGGAAGTTTCTAGCTAATTTTAAGACATTCAGCACTAAAACAAAGAAATACTTTTAGTTTTTAATATATTATATTTCAGATTTTATTTTAACTCCTCACAAAACTCACATACATACCAATCCATCCACTCTTTCTTTGGGATGGATCCCGAATAATACCAGCTATCTATTTAAGTTCTCATTGAACGAGTTTCTTTCTTGTATGACGGTAAAATAAGATTATTGCTGAAACTGGCTGCCTGTTCTTTAAATTTTCTTTATGCAGGGTCAAGCCTTACCATCAATGCTTACAGAAATCCCATTTTCAATCCCAGAATGTGAATGTTTATAAACACTAGTGATTTTCAGCGCTGCTGGAGCCGGTTGTCGCAGAGGCTGGAGGCTCTCCCCACAGTCACAGCACTGAGGTGCAGATCGAGGTGCTGCTCTTGTTGGTAACACACAAATACAAAATCTCAGTGGTGATATCACCTCAGTAGCAATGGGAAAAGTAGCCCAAATCTGGGATTTTCAGCACACTCTCTGGTATGCGGTGGCTGCACATATTCCATATATAGAAGGGAAGTGTGCGCAAAACTTTAGGTGTCCTGAAAGACGATTTATCTTCATTCTTGACTCTTCACCAAATACTCATCTGAAAGCTCAGTGTTTCCCCTGTAAAAGGTAATTTCCCCGTGGAAATCTTCTAATTGAGCAAAGTTTAGAGCAGTTTTGGGATTGTTTCCCATCTCTATAAATCTGACCATAGGGGTCTCTTGAAAGAGAATTGCTAAGAATTTCCAACTGGACTATGTAATCAGAGCGCCTGGTATCAAGAGGAGGGGGAGTGACATGAAATCACTGACTTGTGACATACATTCCTCAGCAACAGCAGCTGCTGCCTAATGACAGCTAATAAAGGGAATCTTCCCTTGACAGAGCTGCATGCCTGCAGTGGGACTGGAATGTGCCCAAGATAAACCCACTGATAACCTAGGGAGCAGGGATCACCCAAAGAGTATAAAAGACGAGCTTCAGAAGGGACACAACAGGACAAGGAAGAAAGAGACTTGAAGGGACATCTCAGAAGAAACAGCTTGAACTTCCCTATTCCCAACGAAGTCAGCGCCATGGACACTAAAGGCTCATTTTTCTATGGCTTCCTTTTGCTGCTGCTCATCCAGCTCCAGTCCAGCAGAGCCAACCCCATCTACAGCCTCAGCCCTGCCAAAGAACTGGCCAGCATGGAGGTGAGGACTCTCATTTTGCAAGGTTAAACTTTTGGGGTGCTTAGCAGAGTGTGAGCTGGTGCTTTGCCTTCCTTTTGCATGACTGCATGGCAATAATGCATCAGCCATCACATGCTGGGGGACAAAGCCTCAGCTTTTCAAAGGGGCTCAGAGAAGCTCTGCAGAGCAATATCCACCCATGCTGGGTTCACCCGAGCTCCTGGGCAGTAGTGGGAACCAAATTGTGATGTTGTAGGATGTCTGCTTTGGTGTTTTGATTCTTTTTCTTTTAAAGATAAATCTTCTTGGGAACTAAGTTCCAGGGGAGGAAAAAATCATCAGAGTAGCTCCATAAGAAAAAAATAGAAAACGCTGAGGTGGGGTCCTGATATATGTTTACCCCTGCTCCATATGGCTCTAGCTTTGTGAATTTGAGAGATCTGGTTGTGTATGGATGAGAGATGAGGAGGTAAAGTGGAGCACTCAAAGACAAACTTTTATAAATATTACTAGAGGAATAACACAATAATTCAGAGTGGCTCATCTAGAAAAGCTTTCGGAGCTATAAAATTACCGCTAAGCATTTTAATAAATAATAGAGAAAATCCATTGTTACAGCATAAGCTTGAGACTCTGATGGGATCTGAAAGCTCAAACCTTTCCTTGGGCTGGTTGGTACCAGTAACCAGCTTCTCAAAGCTGTTCTCAGGCCCTAAGAACAAACTCCCTGAGCTTATAAAGACAATTGAAGCTAAAGCTGCCTCTGGGCTGTTTCCAGCAGCCAGGAAGAGTGGCTTCCAAATGCACTCACTATCAGGAAAGCCACAAGGCTCATTCCTCTATATTCATATTCTAGAGTTGGGCAATTAAATTCCTCTAATTGGATGAGGTGCCCTTGAGGAGGTTATCTGACCCCAGTTATACAAAGCTTTACAAATTACAAAGAATGGTACCCAGGAAGCAATCACACAGCAGGCATGAATTTACCATACAGGTATTTTCAGTTACTTTCATGAGTAGCAATCCTGTAATCCCTGGGGCAGAAAATACTGAAAACACCTAGAGCTTCTCCAATGTAATTGAAATAGCCAGGGGTGACAAAGCAGCAACTTCTGAGAATGTGGGAGTGGGCTATGTGGCTAGAGGCTCTCTCTGACTATACCACCAGTGGGCTGAGTGGACCCTGTGGAACTCACATCTTGCATTTTCTTCTCTGCCAAGATGTCTTCTAAATTTACCAGTAAGATACACATGATGGCAAGCAGCTTCATTTAGTTCAGAAGGTGAAGCTATGTCTTCCCATAGATGGAATTACTGAGAATAGGGATATAATGCAGAGGACAGAACCCAAAGACCACCGGGAAGGCTGGGATCCAACCTGTCAGTCTCCCCAGGGTGGGCTATGGGACCATCAATGAATACAGAACAGAATGACTGGAAGAGTTAGCAAATGACCACAAAACAAGGAATTTCATTAATTTCATCCTTCTCTTATAGGCTCTGCTGGAAAGACTGGAGGATAAGTTTGCAATGATGGAAGCCCTGGAGTCCAATCCTGACCTGCAAGAACCAAAAACCCAGGAGGAGATCCTGTCGGAACTCGCCGATGACAGTGACAACCAGAAGGCTGAACCCAGGCTTGCACCCAACACCCCTCTGTCCTACAGGGACCCCTTCCTCAAGAGACTGAGGGGGCTGCAGATGCCCAGGATGATGAGAGATTCTGGCTGCTTTGGCAGGAGGATTGATCGGATCGGCTCCCTGAGTGGGATGGGCTGCAACGGTGAGTCCTGTCTAAGCCTTTCACCAAATAGCACAGACCGTGGCCGTGCCATGGCACAGGGAAGGAGCAGCTTCTCACTTAAGTTTTTAAGAAGACACAGTTTCAGAATGGAATTAATTTGAGCCTAGTATTTAAGCTAGTATTGGTTTTTCAATTGTGACACGTACCAAGACGAAAACAGATTCTAATAACATTTTTTTTCATGTTTGGTTTGCAGGTTCCCGGAGAAATTAGGATCAACCTCCCTAGAACCTGCTCTGAAGAATGCTTTACAGTACCCCCTTCCTCCCAAGACGAAAGCCAGATGCTTTCTAAGCTCCTCAACAGAAAGTTATTACTATTTTTATTTATTTATTTATTTATTTATTTGATGTTTTTTAAAGAACATTTCTTACGCTAGCACTGACAGACCATCTTTAAATAAAACTAACACATTAGACATCTGTGCTGGACCTCTCTCCTGTCTGTTGCATTAAGTTTTCTCGTATTTGCCTTAAGTCAAAATCTTAAATTTTATTGATATTCTGGTACTCACAAACCTGGATCTTACTTACATGAGACAGAGAAAACTTAGTAAAAATGAAAATGAGTTTTTGACTAGAGGCTTTTCCTCTGCAGTGAGAAATGCCAACAAATTATCAGGAAAAAAAAACAACTTGCTTAATATTGAAAGATCATCATGAGTCCTCCTGTAGACAGGGTTTCAGTGATAAGAGAGTCCTTCTGCTGGTTTAAATTATTCACTCATGGGAACTTCTACAAATGCCTCATATAAACAAAAGTTACATGAAAAGAAATAAATAAAATCATAACACTCCACAAGTTTCAATATAACCAGAGGGAGGAAAGGGAATTCATTGTATATGCTTTCTAGCAGTGACCAAATAAAGGTTACGAGCATCAACAGAAAGATACACCATTAACTGTGTCTTGTCTCTCTGCACGTGGCTGAGATGCTGATTCCCAGAATTTCTTGAAGGATCCTCAAAGATTTGAGTATTATCATATTCCTCATGAGAGGGTAGGTGGGATCACTCTACTACACAGCAGCTTGTATGGAGCATTTATCATTTTCTGGGAATGGCCCCTTGCAAAGTTGCTCTAACATGGCTGATGGAAACACTAGAAGTCTCATTAAGGCTTATTTAAATTTAGTTGTTAGATTTCACACCTAGGACCTGAATTTGACATAAAACATATTCTAGCACCCCACTAAAGAAGGTAATATTGCCAAAAACACATTCAGTCAGTCAGTCAGTATCCCAAGGAACAAAGAGCTTGGTCCCCGTGTGAACCCCAGGAATGGCATCAAGCCCAGCTCAACACAACTGTCCTGTCGTTGACTGCATGTACTGCTAGGAACTGTGTTATTCTGAGCACCTCATGAGCCTCATTCCCAGAATCTCAGTGCATTCCCATGTACCTGAGTATCCTGAGAAGCTTGTTCAGGGCTTTAGAAGGCAGCACCAGGACAGACTGAGCTGGAACAGTCCACTTCTGACTTTGTTTATACAAATGCACATGGTGACAGAAGCTGTACCTGGTGAGGACAAGGAACTGGAAGTCAGGTGTTCCAGAGCTGCTGACAACAGCTCCCAGGTACCACAGCTCCAGGGACAGGGTAAATTCAAGCACACACCCCTCCGTGCACAAGGCCAGCCACAGCTAAGGCTGCTGCAACACTTGAACAGGGCTCATGTCACACATCCCATTTCTGACAAGCTCCCAGTCACTCCCTGCAGTGCTGACATGGCCTCCAAGAGGGATCTGTGTGCTCCTCTCCACACTGGGCCTTGTGATTCTTTCCTAGGGAAGTGTAATCTGAGGGAGTAATTTTGCTACACTCCAACAGGAAACCACAGTGTGATACAAATCCTCTCCTTCCACCAGCAACAGATAAAATATTTTGTGGAATAGTGTCCACACAGGTTTCCCTGACAGAATAAATTCCCAGGTTAAGATTCCCAGCAGTATCCACGGGACATCTCTGCAGTGAAAGATACAGTGACTTTGCATTTACTCAATTTCACAGATCATGGGGTGTGAAGTCACCCTTTGGGGAGCCCTTGTGGGGACAATGGGGCTTTGCCTTCTGAAAAGACCCATTGCAGCACGATGGGAACATGCAGGTGGATCCCTCCACACCAGCAATGGGCAACAGCCTGACTTCCCCTGTGCTGCTGAAAGTAAAAGCAACTCATGTATTATAACAATAGCTCTTGCTGGAGCTGAATTTTACCCAGTCAAGCACAACTTGCACAGACACTGTAAATTGTCCCTCCCTGTCAGCCCCTCAAGGCACAAAACACTGATTAGTTCAGTGGAATGTGCTAAAAATGGCAAGAAGAGGCAATGCTTCCTGACCTAAAGCCAGGTGGGTCCAGTATTAGCAGCAAGCCAGTTCCTGGTGGAACAAGTCTGTATTAGCTTGCAGACAGTGGGTTAATAGACCCTGCAGTCTGGGAGAACCTAACTGAGGGTAAGCAATCGAGGAAAAAAGCATCTCTGACTGGATTTTTACTGCTACTCCCATACACACATTGTGCTGTAAAGCACCCTCAGGGAAATCTTGCTGCCAGGTCAGAATAGTGCTGCACTGAGGAGTAAGCACTGGGAAAAGCTGAATGGGAGAAACTCGACACTGACCAGCTCTACAGGCAAAGAACATCACCCCCAAGGATGGAAAAAAGCTGCCACTGTTGCTGTGAGCATGGGATCAGAGAGAGCAGGGAATAATCCTGCAAACAGCCATCATGTAATTGAAGAAATATGTCAGTGGGACCAGAGAAGGACCAGGTTAACACCCTCCACACAGCTATAATGACGTTTGCAACCTCCTGCCCTGCCAGACTTCATTCTAACTTCTGAACAGCATTTGGTAGTACCCATTATTGGCTGTGCATAATTCAGCAGCTTGCTTTCCTCTGGACTCTGAAACACAGTAATGCCATTAGTGTGCTCCACACACTCTGTAAGGCATGAGCCTTATTTGGAATAGGGGTCTGCTTGGCATGGGGTATATTTGCAAATTAGATTTGATGGTTTCTCTGCCCCTCAGACACTGCACTATCCCTATCCAGCTTCCCACTAAACAAAATGCTTCCACTGAAATCCAAGCTGGCAGTCAAGAATGCCAGGAGGAGTTGTCAGCACTGCTTGGTTTCTCTAAGAAATCACATGTGAATTACAGGGTACACCTCTTCCACTGCTGCAGGGAGACATGGACCTGTGCCAGTTCCCATCCCCATCTGGCCACAACCAGCTTGCTTGATTTACTTCTCCTGAATCTTGGCCCCCAAAGGCCTTTGCTGATTGACATCTGCTTGATAAGTGTGTCCCACACTTCTGTGTGGGAAGGAAGGAAGATTTGTAAGACTTTCCCCCTCTATTACCATCTCCTGACTGCTCTCTCAGAAAACCAGCACAATCCTGTACATAAAAAGCAGAGTGGGGAGGAGGTAAAGTTTATGACAACAGAAGGTGGTGAAAAGGCAACTAGAGTCAGGCCTGCTATGCTGGGAATTGGGAGGCAAGAAAAGAATAAAACTGGTGTGTTATTTCAACCATCCCAGAGAGACAGTCTCTAGTATAGGCATCGGAGCTGCTGGGGGAGTCAACAAAGGTCTCAAGGTTGTCATGTCTTACCTGTTAGTCATGAGTTTTCAACACAATATTGTTTTCTACTGAAACTGGTATTTTTGTGTTCCAGTCTCTGCTTTAAAATGTTTAAAGTGTGTTAAACCATACATAGGCCATACAGCAATCAAAACAGCCTGGAGAAAGGGAGATTCCTACTCACTTTTAAACTGTGATCTCAACGTCCAAACCTCACTGACTGACTCCCCTCCCTTCCCAGACATCAGAGGAGCTCACTGATGTCTCATCCCAGCTCCCAATAAGCCTTTTCAGACACTGCCTTTGAACAGTGGATGCAGAGGAGACTGAGTGAATCCCACTGCTGTTGAAAAGCCCTTCAGCACCCTGGACAAGAAGAGCAGCTTCACTCTCTTCTCACTCCCCTGCAACAGCCAAAGTTCCAGGCAGCCATCCTCTGCTCCTTCCAGCACCTGCTGCATGATCCACAACTGGGAATGCACACACCTGTACGGCACTGAAGAAACAGCTTGTAGCCTGCTAGCAAAGCAAAAATTAAAAAAATATTAATAATCTCACTGAACACCACTAGTTTTTTTCTACTAGAGCCCCAGTGCATCATTACAGGAACAATGACACATGGTTGGATCCAATGAATCTCCAAACCTCTCCCATTCCCTCCTATGTTGCTGCATTTATAACCAAAGGCAGCACAGAACAGAAGCAGTTCCCCCAGCCCTTTTTCCTGAAGACTCTTTCCTACCCCTGCTAGGGCATCCTTCCTATTCCTTGCTTAGCTAAACTGCTGTGGCACTTCTTTAGCTCCTCAAATCGGATTTTCTGCCATTCCCTCCTAAGAGATGGGAGGTTTTACTCATCTCAAGCTTTCCCTGGCATTACATACCCAGTAAGGGAGGGCCAGAGGGCAGCAGCCAGACAAGCTGCTGGCTAACTGTGTGTTAGAGAGCTACTATGTGCATCCTGTACAACACAGCCCCCAATGCACAGAAACATGGAAAGGCAGTGAGCTTTTGGGTCAGATATTTCTACAGTGCTCAAAGACTGTAATTACATTTTTGGCTTGTAAGCATGAGATGAAAGCTCAAAAATTGTCACTAATTCTTTTCTGTAAGGCAGACAGCAGGACAAAGCAGGAAAGATAGCCACAAACTAAATAAACATTCAAGATGAAATTAAGATCCTTCATACCCTGGAGAAGCCAACTGTAAAACAAGAGGTGACACACTGTAGTTTAAACTTCTTTCATTAACTTACTGGGAGAAAGGTGAGTTCTCAGGTGAGAAAAGCAGCACAATGTGCACAATTTAGCTCCTTATCAAACATGGCAATTCCCTCCTTTGAAACAGCTGTTGTGAGAATGTGGAACTACAATGGTCACAACCTAATGGATCACAGCCATTCCTCTCCTGCCTAGTCTAGGAGCACCTTCTGCATAAACTGTTAGATCCAGATAGCTCATAAATAGCAACTACTCAACTACCTCAAACCATGCTCTTGGATGTTGTCATGTTCTACTAGTTTTATTATCATAAAGGGCAAAAATAAAACAATACTAGAAACATCAAAAGACCTTGAAAGTGCTGAAGGAGACACACAAACATTTTACTCTCAGACATGTT